AGTGTCGCGGTCGAGGCAGGTCCCCTCCCCCCCCGGGCTCCCCCTCGCCCCGCCTTTCCTCTCCAGTTGACTCATCGGACCGGTGGTTCTAGACACGTCCGGAGCCAGAGCACCTGGAAATCATGATGTTCTCTAGATAACACCGCGGGATACTGATCAATTAAATTCCTTCGTGACGATGTCACTGGAGCCCATGCAGAAATTAGGGACATCGAATGTGTGCACGTGTGAACGTGGAAGGAATTAAAAGGGGAAAAAAAAATCAAGGAACAAATGAGTTTTTCATTGATCTGTCTTCCTTCTGGTTTTGCCAGACACCTTTGAAAATACAGAGGTGATGGGACCAGCAGTTGGCGAAGTGGCTGTGTCGCTGGACTCCCTGTGGTTGACCGCAGTTCGAGTCCTGGACCCGGTGACTTAAAAACTCATGCTGGGTGCATGTGCGTGCGTGCCCAAGATTCCAAGAGAAGAATGGAGGAGAAGGGATTGTGGCATGACCATCCCCCCGGGGGTGATTTCTCGCTTTCCGTCTCTCTGTCTCTCCACCGGGAGACACCGGGTCTAGGATTAGAAACGCAGTCAACTACATGGGAGTCCAGCGACGTAGCCATTCCACCATCTGCTGGTCCCACTCCCACCTGTGGACACCCAGACAGAGAGCCCCCAGGTACATAATGCAATCAGGTGCTCTGTACCCCCACCCCTCAGTGCCAACAAGGAGTAGGGAAGCCCTGGTGTTGGGGTGCTCCCAACTTTCGCTGGAAATCACTTCTATGCAAATGCCTGACTCATCACACTGCAATCCCTTCTCTTCCATTTCTTCTCAGGAGGAAAGAGGAAGGCGGGACAGGAGAGAGGGAGGAAGGAACACACCAGGGTGTAAAATCCCTTAGAATGTGCAGGGCCCAGGCATAGTGGTTACGTGACTAGACTCCCACGTGGTTGACCACAGTTCAAGTCCCGGACCCGGTGGCTTAAAACTCGCACTGGGCTCACGTACGTGTGTGCCCAAAATGCCGAGAGGAGACAGGAGGAGAACGGATTGCGATGTGGCCATCCCCTTGGGGGTGGGGGGCGGGGGATGATTTCTCACTTTCTGTCTCTCTGTCTGTCTGCCAAGAGCACATGCCCCATAACAAAAATCTCTCTAACACAAAGTAAATCAATAAAAGGAATCTGAGTCCTCGTCCCAGGCTCCCGCCCCTCGAGATCTCCGTCTTGTAAACCCCGCAGGGTGCACGTGTTAGACGATCAGTGTCTCCATTTATCTCCCAGGAGGCAAGGGCTAGTCCCTCCTGTCCCCACCCCAGTGTCCAGGACTGGCACACAGTGGACTGTCAATAAAGCACGCAGCATGGCCCGGCTCCCGGGAGGCTGTCGATAAAGCACGCGGCGTAGCCCGGCTCACAGAGACTCCGTCTCCACTCTCCCCATTCGAGGCTCCTTGCATACGACTTCTCCCGGCATCTTCACCCCAAATCTGTGAACTGGATGATGGAGACGAACCTCCCTGGCAGCTCCTCGACCACTGCTAAACATCCACGCATACCCTGATGGAGGGGCAGACGCACTGAGAATGCGTAAACTGGGGACCACAGGGGACATGGCAGTGGGACGTGAGCCTCTGCAAGGCCAGCACTGTCGCCAGCACACGGCGGACACCTGGAGACCCCGCGGCTGACGGGCACCTGGGAAGATGCAGACCTGAGCCCAGGACCAGCAGGTGACAGTTAAAGCCACACTCGTTGTCACACCTTTGCATGGCGACCAAACCTCCCATGCTGGAAAAACAAGCCTGATTCTCAATAGCAAAAGATTAAAAAAAAAAAAAAATTGTTCAAAACATCAGGGAACAGGAGACTGAACTACAGATATGGCTGTCCTGGCTATTTTGACTAAAAGGGATACAAAAATAAATCCGCAGAGGAATGGCTGCAGTCATCTCTCAAGACACACACGGCTCGGAGCATTTCGAACAAGCGCCTTCATTCAAAGAACTCAGCACTGAAATAAAAGATTGCTCACTCTTTCTCCGGGTGCCCAAGTTAGAAGTGGTTTACCTGTTTTTAAACAGAACAGACACCTCTCCAAAACAATTATAATCTTTTTGGTGTGTCTCTCGCAGACTTGGCACGAACTCAAGCTCTGTCTTTTATTGGCTGTGTGGCCTTGGGGAAGTTAAGTAACCTCTCTGGTCTCTAAAATTCAGATAACAGTCTTCCCCAGGCAGTTGTGTGGCCTCTTCATCATCCCTAATTCCTGGCCCATCACTCCCACCTAACTTCCCCACCCACACCTGGCCCTCGGCCCCCCACTCAGAAATTTCTCTTTTCTTCTAGAAGATTCCAAAGCCACAGGCTAGTCTCTCTACTTCCAAGACTTTGCCCCAACTATGACCTTCCTTCTCGGTCACTGTCCACGGTTCTACTCATCCTGACCTACCAATGTTCTCACAATGTCATGATCATTGCATCCTGACCTACCAATGTTCTCACAATGTCACGATCATTGTTCCTGGGCCAGCAGGTGGCATGGTGGTTAAGGCACTGGACACTCCCACATGGCCAACCACGGTTCGAGTCCCGGACCTGGTGGCTTGTTTTCTCGCTTTCCATCTCTCTCTCTCTCTCTCTCTGTCTCTCTGGTATGTATAAATAAATAAATAAATTTTTAAAATAAAATAGTTTTAAGAAAAATGATCATTAAAATAGAAAATGTGGGGAATTGTTTTACCGCTAGAAAGAGGCTAAGCATAAAATAGAGAAGGGACGTGCCAAAACCTGGCTCTGAATACCTTTCGAACTTCTCTGGCGATCGAACAGCCCAGAGCATTTCTCACCACCGAATGGAACACCTGGAGACGCCGCTGGCCACGGGTGAACAGCCGGCCGCGATGAGAACCACAGACAGATTAATTTTTCAAAACCCACCGGAGGGACTCCAGGATGAATGGACAAAGGGGAGCAGCAGGAACAGAAAACCCGCTCGCCAAATACACATGTTTTAAACGCTCTAAGCCGGATAGCAATCACAGAAACGCAGACGCAAGGACACCTGTCGGCCCCACCGCCACCAATAAATTATGAAAGCTTTTTCCAGCGACACTCGAAGCTGGCCAAAGCGCTCCCTGTCGTCCCGCGCTCGGAGGAGGAGTGTCCGCTGCTACAACATTTCCGGAGAGCCGTTTGGCAATCCGTGTCCCCATCCTCTGACCCAGAAATTTCGCTTCTGGAAAGCGAGTTGAGAGAAACAAAGGCGAGATAAAGCTTTGACCTGAATACGCTCTCCCTTGTCTTTGTGAAAACTGGAAATAATCTTAATACACACCCAATAACGGGAAAGAATTGAGCCACAGCAGACGCATTAAACACCCAGGAAACGACGACTTGCATTTCCGTGCTAGCGTAAGAGGGGGATATGGCTTTTATACAAAGATTTATTTTTGTGCCATAGGGCGTGTGCATTTGTCAGAGAAAGACAGAGTGAGGCAGAGAGTGGGAACGTGAGAAACAAACCCTCCCCCGGGGATGGCCGTGCTGCCATCCCTCCTCCTCCGTTCTCCCGTTGAAATTTTGGGCACGCCTGCACACGCGCCCGGCGTGTTTTCCAGGCTGCAGAATCCAGGACTCAAACTATAGGGTCAGCCGTGTGGGACCCAGTACCTTAACCACTATGCCACCTGCAGGCCCAAGATGGATGTTTTCCTTTTTTTCCTCTGCATATTTGAACAAATGTCTACTAGGGACAACGTGACTTCTAAATTCAAATAAGAAAAAAACTTTAAAAAAAAAAAACACAATTCCAAATATTCCAAATTCTTCCACTCCTTCCCATCTCCCAGGCAAAAGAGAACACAAGGGCATTGGCTATCCAGAACAAGAGGGGATTTATGGCCCTTGGGCAAAATCCGGCCCACTGTTTGCTTTTGCAAATAAAGTTTTATTGAAACCCAGCCATGCCTGTGTGTCTACCCATGCCTGGGGCTCCTTGCCCCGACAGTGGTCAACTTCAGTAGCTGCAGCAGAGATGAAATGTCGGCAAAATCTCCAGCATTTACTCTCTGAGCCTTTCCAGGAAAAGTCTGTCCCTCCCTAAGCTAGTGCATGCCCCCCGCTGCTGTCCCCCAGCCAGGCCTCGCCAAGTGGCCAAAATCTTTAGAACCAGGCACCAGAACACCTCAGAACCCTGTCTCCCCGGCGTACCTTTCTGGCAATGGCTGTGTGTCCAACATCGCTCGACAAACTGCCCGTTGATGACCGTGGCGGGGCAGCTGGTCTTGCCCTTCGCGGTGCCTGGACAGATGTCCCCACACTCCTCATTGTCGTCCTTGTTCAACACGATGTAATTATCCTCCACGGAATCCAGGATCCGGGACCAGTCGATGGTGGCCAGGTAGCAGAGCTCGTTGTTCTTCTCGATGCGGACGGAGCCCCGCGTGATACTCATGAGGTTGTACAGGCCCAGCTCCTTGAGGTGGACCATCTCGAAGATGACCAGCGCGTAGTTGAAGAAGAGGCGGGAGCCCCGGATGACGGTGAGGTTGGGGAACAGGTCCTTCAGGCTCTCGAGCCCGTAGACCCGGAAGAGCAGCAAGTAGTCGGTGATCATGATGAGTTTGGGGAAACTGAGGTCCCGGAAGTCTTCGGGCCTGGTCTTGAACATCAGGAGGATCTGCAAGTGTCCTTCGATGACGGAGCAGTTCTCCAGTTCACGCAGCCTGGTGAGGTTGTTCCGAATATCCATGCCGGGACACACTGGGAGGGAAAGCAGCAAAAAACAACACAGGTAAGCAGACTCGCCAGGATCATGATGAGTTTGGGGAAACTGAGGTCCCGGAAGTCTTCGGGCCTGGTCTTGAACATCAGGAGGATCTGCAAGTGTCCTTCGATGACGGAGCAGTTCTCCAGTTCACGCAGCCTGGTGAGGTTGTTCCGAATATCCATGCCGGGACACACTGGGAGGGAAAGCAGCAAAAAACAACACAGGTGAGCAGACTCGCCAGGGGAGATGGGGGCCGGCAGGTGGCGTGGTGGTTAAAGCACTGCACTCCCACACAACCAGCCGGCAGGTGGCGCCCAGACATGGCAGCTCGCTCTTTCTCTCTCTCTCTCTCTCTCTCTCTCTCTATCTCTCACTCTCTCTCGTGAGTACATGTGCCTTGCCTATAGCAATTTTTTTTTAGTTTTTATTATTTTTTTATTTCAACTTCTTTCATACATCCCATCACGCTATTTAGCTTGCAAAGTGAATATTCCAGCATGCATACATTTCTCGCTAGTCCAGTTGACAATACTATGAAGTTTTCTTCAACAGATAATACCCCGTTCCTCTGTCCCATAAATGCTTTGCGTCTCTATTTTTCTCCTTAATGTCCTTCCTCAGACTCTACTCCTTCACCCACCCTCTTCCCACCCTAGATCTGGTATTCACAACCATTTACTGTGTTTCTATAGCCTTTAGTCATTCAGTTTCACTCATAGAGTGCGGACACTCGGTATGTATTAAGTGGGGACATACAATGCCTCTCCTTCATAGCCTGGCTTGCTTCACTCAGCAGTAAACCTTCCATATTCATCCACTTTCTGTCAAAGGCCAGAGTCTTGTTGTTTTTTATGTAAAAGAATAATAATAATAATAAGGGAACCAGCAGATGGCATAATGGTTACATCACTGGACTTCCACATAGTAGAGCTCAGTTCAAGTCCCGGACCAGACAGCTTAAAACTCATACCAGGCACATGTGTATGTGTGCTCAAGAGGAGACTGGAGGAGAAGGGATTGCAGCATGGCCTTCTCCCCCACTGGGGGGTGGCGGATGATTTCTCACTTTCAGTCTCTCTATCTCTCCCTGTCTCTTCGGTGAGCACACATACCCTATAGCAAAAATCTCTCTCTAAAAAAAAAAAAAAAGACTAATAATAAATTTTAAAATACATAAATAATTTAAAGAAAAGAAAGAAAGAAAGAAAAAGGAGGAAGCTCGCAGCATGGTGCTACTGAAGTAGCACAGTGCTCAGGGAGGCTGACCAGCCCTGATGGGAAGGTGCCAGGTTCACACCTAGAACCTAAGCGCACGGGACACATGTGCACCTGTGACCCTGGGCTGGCTGAGCTGGGGGCCAGGTCACGGTGGGGGGACTCTGTAGAGGGTACCTGTCTCTCCATCTCTCTTCTTCATGAAAGAAAAAAAAGAAAAGTTAAGAAAAAAAAAAAAAAGGGTCATAACCTATTGGTTGAGGCAGCTGGATCCCACACGGCAGACTGCACGGTTCAAGTCCCACACTCGGCAGCTTGAAACACACCAGGCACACATGTGTGCGTGCCCGAATCTCCAAAGGACGGCAACATGGGGAAGAGATTGGAGCCTGGCCATGCCCCACGGGGAGGGGAGCTTTCTCCCTCTGGCAAATGCACACACCCCGTAGCAAAAATACACGTATGAAGAGAGAAACAGGGCCAGCAGAGGGCACGGCCAACGTCACGGTTCGAGTCTTGGACCCAGTGGCTTGAAAAACACGCCAGGCACAGGTGTGTGCATGCCCAGAATCACAACAGGAGAATGGAGGAGAAGGGGTTGCAGCGTGGCCATCCCTCACTCCCACCCGGGAGCGATTTCTCACTTTCTTCCTCTCTCTCCCTCTCTCTAGTGAGCACACGCACCCTATAGCAAAACTAAAACACATACACACGGGACCAGCAGTTGGCGTAATGGCTGTGTCGCTGGACTCCCACGTAGCCGACCATGGTTCGAGTCCCAGACTCGGTGGCTTAAACCCACACCGGGTGCGTGTGTGTGCGTGCCCAAGATCCCAAGAGGAGAATGGACAAGAAGGGATTGCGGCGTGGCCATTCCCCCTGCTCACTTTCTGTCTCTCTGTCTCTCTCTGTCTTTCTGATGAGTGCACACGCCCTATAGCAAAAACCTCTCCAAACACACACACACACACACACGCACACACACACACGAGAAGCAGGGGAGGGGCTGGTTTCGTGGGTGCTCCGGCAGGCACCATAGCCAGCTCTGACAAGTGACTTCCCTTCCGTGTGACGCGCCCATGGCCAAGTCATGACTTTCAAAAGGCCAAGAAAATAATGCCCTTGGCAGGCCCTGTGACCAGCCCTAAAATCATCACCTCCTCTCTGATGCAACGGGGACAAAAGGGTTGCAGAAGATTGAGTAACAGCAGGTGCCGAAGGGGAAAGGGGAGCGGTCCCCAGTGCGTCACTGCCCGAGATCTTCAGGAAATGATTTACGGGATTAAAGGTGGACTCATTAGAGACAGAGCGCGGAAAACGGAATTGATTTCTCTGGTCTGTTTTCCCACTCCCTGGCTGAGTCTCCTTCCCAGCTGGCTGTCGAGGCTTGGTTACCATTCCCCTCCGAGTGGCACGGGCTTCCCAGGGTGCTCGGACTCCCTGCATGCTCCTTCTCCTGAAGGTGGTCCTTCCTCAGCTCCAGCACCCTCTATGGCTCCCCAGCACTGCACTTTCTGTTCACAAGACCCTGCCCTCCGTCCCCTGTGCCACATGTAAGAGGGCTACCTATGGCTCCTGCACAGCTCCAAGGCTCTGTGTCCCCCTCCACGACCTACGAGGACAAATAAATGACATGGTGCAGGACAAGGACTCGTGATGCCAGGCACAGGAATAACAAGTCGTACTCGTTAATATCAGATGGGTCGTCATGGTTATCCTTTGTTTTCTCAGACACATGACGGTCATCTCTAGGCATCGGTGAGGCTAGTCTTAATTCCTGACTGACCAGGTTCTTTACACCTTTCTAAATCCAGCCCGTTGTCCTGGAAGTGCGAGTTCCAATGCCACCTCCTCCAGGCAGCCTTCCTGGATTTTTGGGGGGTGTTTGAGTCTTTCCTTTCTGCTGGGGAAGGAAAGGAAAGGAAACTACATGGTGTCTTCCTGCCAACACACACACACACAAAAACTCACTAGGAAATGAGGGGGAAATTCCAGTTCCCAGCTACCGAGAAACTGCCACTCTCTCCTGACGCTTTGACACTCGCTACCCAGGTTTTGAAGCAGCTTCAAAGGGACGCGAACATCAGCTGCAGAGGCCACATGGGGGAGCAGAGGTCAAACACGATGCACCGTCCAGATGGAGCCACATCGGAAGGTTCCAGGTTCGTGTCCAGAGACCTCCCTGTGCACCCCAGGCACGCACGCCCTAGTCCAGAGCTGGCTGAGTCTGGGGGCAGATGGCAGCATGCAAACTATGTGGGGAGTGCTATCTCTCTGTCTCTGTCTCTCTTCGTCATGGAAGACACGTAAAAATAAGTTGGTTTGTTGTCTGGTTTTTAGGGAGATTTTTGCTATAGAGCAGGTGTACTTCCCAGAGAGACAGAGAGACAGAAAGTGGGATGGCCACGCCGCAATCCCTTCTCCTCCACTCTCCTCCCAGGATCTCGGCACGTATGCACATGCGCCCGGTGCTAGTTCTAAGCCACTGGATCCAGGACTCGAACTGCGGTTGATTATGTGGCAGTTGAGTGATGCCACCATTATGCCACCTGCTGGTCCCAATAAATAAGCTTTGACAAAGGGCAGGGGCCAGGTAGTGGTGTGGGTATAAATAAGCTTTGACAAAGGGCAGGGGCCAGCTGGCGGTGTGGGGCTGGGCCGGGCTCTCCCGTACGGCAGATTATAGTTCTAGGCCTAGACCTGGCACCGCGCTTTCTCACTTTCCCACCTCTCTCTCTCTCTCGTCTCTCTCTGGCAAGTGCGTGTGCTCTATAGCAAATCCATAATCATAACAACAAGTCAAATTAAATAAATACATCATTTTAAAGGCGGGGGGCTGGCATCTTGGCCTTGTGGTTAAGGGAGTCCAATCACACATGACCAACCATGCAGTTCAAATTCTGACCCCAGGGGCTTGAAAAATATGCTGGGCACCCTCGTGTGCACGCCCATAACTCCAACAGGATGGAGAAATGGAGGAGAAGGGATGGCAGCGTGGCCGTGCGAGATGGGGGCTCGCTCTCGCTCTCGCTCTCGCTCTCTCTCTCTCTCTCTGAATTCTCACATGTGCTTCTCCTGCTCCAGCATAGATGAGTCTCACACACGAAGCTCGGAGCAAGGTGCTAGACACAAAGAGCCCCCCAGCATCGGTCCCGCTTAGACCCCAAGTCCAGAGCTTGGGGAGTCCGCAGAGAGCAGATTCCTGATTGCCAGGGGCTGGGGGGGTGGGGAAGGCAGTGGGAGAATGTTTCATCTTCTTTGAGGAAAGATGAAAACGTTCTAAAAGTGACAGAGGTGGAACCAGCAGTTGGTGTAATGGCTATGTCACTGGACTCCCACGTAGTCGACCGTGGTTCAAGTCCCAGACCCGGTGGCTTAAACCCACACTGGATGCATGTGCGTGCGTGCCCAAGATCCCAAGAGGAGAATGGAGGAGAAGGGATTGTGGCATGGCCATCCCCCCTAGGGGGTGATTTCTCACTTTCTGTCTCTCTGTCTCTCTCTGTCTGTCTGGCAAGTACAGGGAAAAACCCCCCCCCATAAAAAAAAACCCCCCCAAAAAAAAAAAAAAAAAAAAAAAAAAACCAGAGCGAGAGAGAGAGAAAGTGAGAAAGCAAATCACCAAGTCCAGGACTCGAACCTACAGTGGGCCATGTAGAAGTCCAGCATCTTAACCACTATGCCACCTGCTGGCCCAAGTAGCTTTGCCTTTTTCATCTCCCATGGATCCAACTCTCAATTCATCAAAGGCTTCCGGGTCCCTGTGCCTCAAAAACAA